AATTTTAAATTTTCATTATGCCTATCGGTGTTCTTTTTAACATGTAGCTTTGAAAATTTCCTTTTATTTTCTAGGAAGTAACAGAAAAAGTTCGGTGGCGTGGGTCCAAGGCCGAGACCATAGCAAAGAAATCAATGGGTTTAGCTCCAAGAATCTAATTTTATATTAATCATTGGAAGAAAATTTGTGCAGGTGGCGTAGCTAAAATTGTCTGCATTTGAATAGACAATGAACAAACTCCCAAACACCGACTACCGAAACCCCATCTTCTTTGACTCTTCTCATTTCCTTCCCCAAGAAGAAGCTGGTAGGACCTCAACTGCTTGACAACTTCAACAGTTTTTCCTTTAATTTTCTTGGTAAATTATGCAAATCAACCCCACTACTCCATTTCGGGTTAACTATTAACCCTTTACTTTTTATTACGATAAGTAATTTCTCTCTAATTATCAGCCTGGGCAAATTAGTTCATTACATCACAAATGATATCAGTTAATGACTTAATGTTATAAATCTATTATGACCCTTTAAATGTAAGATATAAATTAGGATTATCCATTGCTAGGGTTTGAAGTGCTAAATCTGTCTTGAGATACCCTCGGTAGGTTTTGTTTTTTTTTTTTTTTTGCTTTGGTTTTAGTTTTAGAGTTGATTCAAGTTATAAGCTGAAATTATTTATCCTTCAATAAAGGAAAGAAAAAAAAAAGAAAAAAGAAAACAAAGTGCACAGTACTAATTAAATTCATGTGAGAAAAGGGAAGGAAACAAAAATAAAAAAAGAGGGAAATTTCCAAGTTGAAAAACAAAAGGAAGGAAAACCTAATGAAGCAAACAAAGGTGGTTATCTCTTAGTGAAAAAAGTTGAGAAGGCAATTGTGAACTTGAAGTGGAGTAAATGGATTAATTTGTATAATTTACCAAAATTCTTATATCAATTTCCCTTGAGAATAGTTATTTCCATTCTTAAATTTCTTTTCATTTGTTTTAAAATTTGAACTTACTCCAACCATCATTACAAATATATAGACTATCGTATCGAGTCGGTGAGAGGATTTTTTGTTTTTTACTTGAATTATGTAATTAGAGGCAATATCTTTCATTCTTTAATTTATTATATTTATATATTATGTAATTTAAATTTAAAATTTTTTATTTTTACTAAAAAAATTATTAAAGAATTATTTAAGTTGTTCACATAAAAAGATTCTTTGGTTATGATTATTCCACACACACACACACATATATATATATATACTTTTGTTGTTTATTTTTAATAGATTTATTTTGATTTTTTAATTTTTAAGATATAAATTTTTGATAAAAATTTAATAATATATATAAAAAATAATTAAATTTTTTGATCAAATGAAAATACTTAACAAGAGCTATATATATAAGAATAAAAAATTTCAATTATTATTCACATAAATTATTAAATTTTTATTCAAAATTTAAGTTTTAAAAATTAAAAAATCAAACAAAATTTATTAAAAATAAATGAAGGAAGTATGTGTGTGTATATATATATTTTTTATTTTTTTTTTTCTGCCATAAGCTTATTGTACTGCTCACTACTCTACAAAATTAATAAATTTGTAAATTGAAAGTAAGAGTCATCATCTAACTAAGAAAAAAGTAAGAATAAGAGTCATCATCCAACTGAAAAAAAAAGTAATTACAGGGAGACGGAAATTTAGAACCATTTATATAATTTATATCACGTAATTAATTTTAAATTTTATTTTTAAAATTTAGTCTCATTTTTCATTATTCAACTAAAAATGAACTTTTGACTTTGGAGATTTAATTAACATTTGGACATATCCTTTGCGCTGTGGGCTGCTATAGCTCTTGTCATTATCTTGGAATTTTCCAAGCTTTGAACAACTTGTGTTTTTTGTCCGAATATTACGACAACTAAATAATTGATCACATTAAGCATTTTAAGCTTGACCAAATTCAAGAAAAGAAGTATAAACGCCACCAAAGCTCAAATGAAGACACACAACATGTTTCACCATTTGTCATCCATCTCAAACCTAACCAAATGTCTTGGATCAAGTAATCGAATCACGATCCAAACCTTTCCCTCAGCGGACATCTTGACCGTTCAGACACAAACCTTTCAGTTTGATATCTTTATTTAGATATACATTTATACATACATATATATATATATATATGTATTTTATAATACAGATTGCATCAAACTACAACATATTAATTATTGAATTAAAAAAAAATTTTAACATTGAAAAAGAACCAATTCATTCATTAATTAATGTTTTGTAATTTAAATTACAAAACACCTACCTCAAATAAAAAATAATGAAAAATTGTCTTATGTTATGTAGTTTATAATAAAATAATTACTTAAGAAATTGAAAAGAATCCCATTCCATGCTATTTCTTTTCATTTCCTTCAATTTTGCGTGTTCTTGAACAAGTCAAACTAAAGTATGAACACCTGATTATTCTCCATAATGGAGTTGTGCCCTGCACGTATTTGTAGTTTCATCATCAAGCTTTCTGGGTTCCTTCCTTGAACAAAAGAGTAATCTTAGAAGGAATTTCTTCCTTTTTATCTGGTTATTAATAAGTCAACGTAGCAACTTTCGCTTATCAAGAAATTTCATCCATCCTGCTGTCTTACGGCAAATCATAGACTTAATAGTGTAGGGAGCCATTACAGTCATAAGAAAATCTTTTA